TTTTATAAAACTGAACATCTCTTCAGTTTTATTGCATATATGGAGCCAGTTATATTCTATTCCACTGTGAATCTGCCTGTCACTTTAAGCTGAGGTGAACTTACTTAAAAAGGAAGCTTATTTTAGACAGTGCTAATAATTGCAGCAATGTGCTGGAATTAGTAAGGACTCTAAAACATAAAAGTTCTTAAAATTAATTATTTTGCACACTCAGTAGAGTATCAAATTCTAAATGGTAAACTGGAAAACTTGTTATCCTGCATCCAAAAAGAAATAGTTAAATGTAGCAAGTTACAAGTAAAGCAAGTGGCTGACTGAATTCAGCACCTATGATAAGGTTTCAGGGCTTAGCAGAGACTTTTGAAGCTTGGTCTGATATTCCTAACACTTGTACTGAGCCTGGAATCAGAGTGATGCCACCAGTGTGATGATCCCCATGTGTATGAGTGAACAGACTGCTCTGATGGCTACAAGTGTCAACTGAATGCTTGCTGACAACTTGTATCGTACTACATTAATTCTATTTGAAATTAATTTGAAACTGATTATTTCTGTTTTCTATTTTAGCCACTCTCTGTAGGCGTTACTAACTCAGCATCTCTGTGCAAGATCACTTCTGTTCATTTAAGTTCAAACTGTTAACCTGCTCAAGGAAACTCGATTAATTTCACTTGCCAATATACAGCAAAGCAGCTAGTTCAGCTATGTACAAGGATAAGCCTGCTGTCAGGGACAGGGCAGGGTGTACGTGGTGCTCACAAACTCATTTCATGCTTAATTCTAGCCTTAATCAGGAATGGATGAGATAAATCCACATACCGTTGCCATCTGTTTAAAGTTCCAAGAATGTGTGGAAAGGGGCTTCTTCCCAGCCATTTATACCCTGCACCAGTCAAAGACACCTGCAGGATTTTGGTCAGAGCCGTGATGAAGTGGCAGTGGCGGTAAGCCTGCTTCCTATAGTGATGAGCTAATAGATTTCAAAGACCCTATCAGCCATGTTTTAAAGGTTAAAAGAAGCAAAATGTCTTAAAAATTGTTAATTTTCCTTGTGAAGACAATAATGCTGAGAACAGCACACGGTATCTGTGTATAAGATACAGATACTGTTATTATCATTTCCAGCTGCTAGGTTACCACGGATGGCTAGCAGGAGGTGTCAGTGTTGATGAAGAGCTCTCGTAGTTGACTAGGCAAACTATTTAAATATAATGAAGTAATAGTGAACTATAGAGCCAGAAAGAAACTTCATGCAGGTACATCAAACACTGCTACTTTAATGGAAAATAAATGTTTATGAGTTCACCCTAATGCTGGAGCTTTCTAGATCTCAATTCAGATTTGCAAATGGAACTGATACCTTTTCTGATTAGCACAGAAATGAAATCCTGTTTGGCTCACTTGAAAACTGCTTCCTGCCTTTATTCTTTTCTCAGTTTGACTTCATACCTCAAAGTGTCTCATAACAGGAGTTCTGACTTCACCTTTTCACTTGTTTTTAAGGGATGTCTCTGATCTCACAGGACTGCAAGCTGTACCAGCAGCATGCAAGCCATGTATAACTTTATTGACAAAGTAGGGAGCCTCAGTTCCATGCAGAATTAGGATGAAAATGTGTAATTTCCTGATATTCTGAAACTGCCATAATCTTAAATCATTTCTTACTCAAATTCTGACTTTTGGAAATCTTGCTGCTCATTAAGAAATAATTATTCCTGAAGTTTTGCCCTGCTTTGTCTGCTATCAGAGTACAAAGCACCTAGAGAACACTCTCATTGAACTTTGAAGGTCTGGTGCTATTTCTTGTGGACAAACATTTTGGATACTTTACTCCACTATCTTAAATCAGCTTTTTACATGTTTTGTTAAACACAGAATATGGTGTTGAAGCCTTTTAAGAAGAATGTGATCTGCAGCACCTTTTCTTCATTCTGAAATAGCACTGACTGTTCTGATCATTATTAAATATATGGTTTTCTATATTTCAAAAGGCTGACATTGATAATAACAGTCAGCTAGAATTTTGATGTATAGATGTTAACTAGATGTTATTCTGGCCGTTTTGAACTCTCCATACAATTAGTATCAGTGAATATTTCCTGTTCTACTTCTCATGTTTCTACTCTGCCCAATTCCAGTAACAAGAAACGCTTTCCAGTTTATTATGTCTTTATTTCAAATCTGTACCACTGCTTGCTTAAAAGTAAGCAATCAAATCTAAGCCATCTGTTGGTTTTGTAACACTGTTGGTGACTTCACAATGGAAAAAAAAAATAATAATTGTTAGTGCTTAAAAAAAAAAAAGCCCTAAAAACCTCAGAGGATTTCCATTCTTTCATCCTTTTATCACATTTGCTCCTGTGCATTATTCCTCTGGTGAATAAAGAGTTAACCTCCAGCCAGCAGTCTGTAATCAACAGGTTGTTCTAACAGAAAAATAATAACCCTTATCCATCTTTTAAAGTTTAGAAGGTTGGACTAAATGATAAAAAAAATACTGATTAAATCCCCTTAAAAACAGAAGTGGGGCCAGGACTAAAATGAAAGGCTTTCTGCTTTAGTAAAAAATCCTCCTCGTTCCTAAGTGAAAGAACCATTACATTAATAACTTAAAAATATATCTCACAACACCCAGAACTTAATTAATCTCTGTCGATACAGAATGATAACAAAACACTTGCTAACCTTTAGGTGGCCAATTCACAGGCAGGTGGAGAGGTTCAGGTCTCCCTGGAATAGCGTTGGAACAAAAGCAGCATCCTGTTTCCTTTTTTCAGTGTCTTTCTCTTCTTTTTTTTTTTTAAGCATTTGAAAATGGAAGGGTGGGTGCTGGGGAGGGGGCGAAGGCAGCCCAGCCTGGGGTGGGAAGAGTTTTAATGGCCGATGCTGGAAATATGGTTTGCCTGCTACAGTGTCTGCACTACTGCAGCTCTGTGTGTGGGCGTAAAGAAATGACACGACTGGGTTTCAAACCATTACACTGAAGATTTGCAAACAGTTAAAAAAAAAAAAAATCCGTGCACAAACCCATCAGGCACAAATGAAAAATGGTTACTTTATTTCTCTTCTTGTGAGTTGGAGTTGTTGGTTTTTGTGTTTTTGGTTTTTTTTTAATTGAATAGATTTAACCCAGTCAGGTTTTCTCCTCGACCTTTAAAATAAAAAAAGGTAAATTAAGTATTTAAAGAAGGCTTTTTTGTTTGAAGGAGTGTGAACATTTTGTTATCATTTTTGCAGCCGAATTTTGATTAACCAAGAAGAGCCCGTATTCCAAAAGGTGTCCAAGGTCCCACAGTAAAGGTCTCCAAAGCATGCCTGTATTTCTGCCTCTGCTGGATCCTGGTAGCACCAAGCAGAATGGGGCAATAGACATAGCAGCTGCCCCACAGCAAGAAAGGCAGGGTGTTTTAAGCCATGATTGTTGCCTTGAATGTTCCACAAAACACAGCCAAGACAAAAAGGGATGTTCTGGCAACCCATTTTTGTTCAGTACTCTTGCAATGTATCAGGCTTGCTGACCCAAATCCAAATCAGACAGAAAACAATTTGAATGTTTGGTGTAAGTACAGAACAAAAAGGAGGCCAACAGCAAGGAGGCAAAGGGATTGTTCTCCATAATACCATGGGGAAGTAGAGGAAAACGCTATTTAAGCTAAAACACAATTGCTGGCACCAGTGGGAATGAGTATAAGTGGGTATGAACAAACCATTGTTGGGAAGGATGGGGAAATTTTCTGTGAGATGAGTGAGAGCAATTAACAGGAGCATTGTTGACCCCCAAAAACGAAACAGAAACAGAACAGTTATAGAAAGGAGTTTGAAAATTTCAGGGAACCTCTGTGACTCATCAGCTCCATGGCAGTAAGGGACTAGAACTCGTTAAATGCATTTCTTCATGTACGTATGGGAGAAGGCACCTAAACTGGAAATTGTGTGTTTGCACCCAGAACATACACATTCTTCAGTGCAGTGTTTCAGATGTGTATTCTTTTAATATTCAAATGAATCCCAAATCAAATGGGTGCATTTGGGTATTTTGTTACCATTAAAGAGCAAGACAACCAGACACCTGGGCAAAGCAGGATGGCAAGGAGGGGATCCCCACAGTGCTATATAGTGCACAGTGTCACCAACAGTTCGTCACCCCATCCTGGTCACAGAGGATCCAGAGCTGAATACCAAATCAGCAGAATTCAGTGTGTGAGTAGAGGCAGCACGACTGAACTCGAGCACTTCAGGCTACTAATTCCAACCTTTAACAAGTAGAAGGTAGTTAAACAATGAATCACACTACAGTGAATGAAAAAAGATCTTCGTTTCTAAATCTATCTGGTAAAACTGTCAGAGGGATGTTACTGCTAATCCACACAAGTACAGGCTGATGGGGTATTAAGTGGGGCCTGGACACTAGCCATAGTAGGAGCTTGAGTCTTTTCTTCTTGTATAAACTACAGGCTGAGGTCAGCTCCAGTAAATTTTGCTAGAGAAATGTCTGTGGTCTCAAAAAGCACATGGTTAGGGGGAATAGAAATATGGCTCCTAGCACTGTTACAGCCATGCAGACTCCAAATATAACTGTACAGCACGATGTAGAATGCTGACTGAAATTGCTTGAATCAATTCAGTAAAATTGGTAATTTTCCTAGCACTGTGATTTTTTGTGTGTAAATAAGTAAAAGACAGGTTTTTATCTGCTTCAGTTCTGGTGACTTCCTCTAAACTGTAAGTTAATTATGTGCACTGCACGCTCCATGAGAACACTTGTGGTCAGACATACGGGGTGCATTATTCATGAGTCCTTTAAATCTTGCTTTTGTTTAAATAAAAAAAAGCATTGATTGTAACTTTCATGGCAGTTTGAAAGAGTAGCAACAAAATGCAGTGCTTGAAGCAGTATCTCTGACAGGTACACACTGCTCACTTCATATGTCATGGACACTGCTGTCAGCTGTAGTGCTTCTATTTCCATGCCACTGTGGCATTTATCTTTTCTGCCATGGTATCATTAGCCACTGTGCTGCAGATAAAGTGACATCTCAAATGTCTGAATGCACCTAGTCCTCTTCTCAGGACTAACCCACATGAACAGTTATTATATAATAATTCTATCAGTTAGCACATACAGCAGTGTTTATATGTGTGAACTCTTAATTTTGAATGTACAGAACATGATTGCCTACATAGCTTCTATTTGACCACAGGTGCACTTGGAGTACACTTAGGTACTTAACATGATATATTTCCCCACAGAACACAGCTCTATAAATTGATAGAATCTCTTAAAGCAAGTATTAAAAATTTGGAAACATTAGATCATAACAAAAAAAATTGAAAGCAAGATCAATCAGGCCATTCCAGTAAATTGGAGAGCTAATTATGACTCTAATGTCAGTAATGAATAATGGCTACTGGTGGTCGTGTGGCACTTCTGTATGTTTTTGCTGGACAGCAAAAGCTGCCACCCTAAACACAAGTGCATCCCTCACACATGTCAGGCCAAAAAAAAAAAAATAGAAGTCCAGGAGAAAAGAGCTAGAAGACAAAAATGTGCTTGAACAGCAAAAGGGAGAGGCACTTTCATTAGAAGCAAACGTGGCTCTACTTGCCAAAGAAATGCCAGTACAGGGAAAAGAACTAAAACACAAGGCATAAGTAATAGGTCCCATAGGGAAGAGAGTCAAGGGCTGCAGAGAAAACGCTGAGGCAATCAGGACCAAAGTGTAGCTGACTATTCATGTAACCAAAGTGTTTTGCTATTGAATTTCTGCTTTAAAGCGCTCATAGTTTTTCCATACCTCAACAGCAGGGTTGTGCATGTAGACACTCACTTGAGTGCATACATACACAGGCTAGTTGTAGCCTCAAGCTGTCTCCTATTAAAAGTTACAGACCTTATTTTGTATAAAATTATATGTAATGTGCTCCAGCTAAGGTTGTAAGTGCCGAATCATCATACAGGGTTGATCTGGGGCTCCACTTGGTTTATATATTTTTAGTATTAATTCAGCATGAGCAGTTCTGGCAAATGATTGATTTAGGCATTAATTCATAAGGATATTCCACAACCCCAAAACAAAACTTAAAACTGAGAGACAACAGGTCAGTGAGTTGAGAATTGGTCCTACCGCACCTGGAGACAGGGTGGGAATGAAGAGAGCTTCATTTACTCCTCTGTGCTCAAGTCATTCTTTTGCTGAGAGCTGAAAGGGTAAAAAGAGGAGGACATTAAAGCTGTGTCTTCTACAAAATAAATGTCTTGCAGGAGGAGTATGAAGAATCTTTCCAGGTTTTTCAGATTGCTGGAATAATGAGCTATAGTATTTTCAGGCATATCACATCATAAAAATGATTAATTATAATTATGATGTGCTTAAAAGCCATGTAGCTTTCAGAGGAACAGTTGCTTCAACTCAGAAAGTCAGGAAGGTTAGTTTTTTTTTTTACATATGCACAGACTACTCATACCAATTCCTCCATCTGTTTCTTGTTTGTCATAGAAAACAGATAACTTCAGAACTGCTGATGGTATTCAGAAATGTTCTAAAAACCAACAGCTACATTAACTTAAATGTACTTTGCAGAAAACAAGACTGGAATTTGACAGGGTCATTCATCACTAAAATCAGCTTTCAGATCAATGTCAGAAACAATGAAGGAGAACATCAGTAACCAGAACTGTAGAGGCACATCACTGATTCCAGCCCAGTACCACTCACATGGCTAAATCCACGTTCCACACCATTCAGCCAACTCAACTATATTTTTTCTTATTTTCTCCATAAGCTTTTATGTAGTTGTGTTTTTTCTCAGCGTGTTGTCAAGGAAGCCCTACGTTCTTGTAGCTCAGTATCCAGCTCTTTATTGCTATAAACACAGAACAGTTTAGGATGTTGGATTGATTGATGTACTTTCCAGTATGAAATGATTCTTCTGTAATATAAGTTTGATAGGTTCAGAGAAAAACCTCTTTTTAAAGATTTGTTTCTACCAAAATATCAGGGTTTGCCAATTAACTTGACCTTTTATTTACCTCTGTCACAATTCCTCTTATATTTTGTTGTCTTTGAGCAATTCTATATTCCTCTAGCAAAAATCTGGGAGGCTACAAGTGATAATAAGGTTTGACACTACTTGTATCCCTTCCTGTGCCATAAACTTACCTTTCTTTGTAATTTTTATATGCTTTTTGTTGGGATAGGAGGTACTACATTCACACACGATTTATGGTGCACTCCAAGGAACTCCAAGTTCTTCAGCACTCGAATGTGAATCAGTGTCTGCTCAGCCCAGGGCTACCTTTCTCTAGAGTGCAGTGGTCACATCCACACTGCAAAGAGCTTGGTCTGTCTCAGGTTTGGCACTTACTGCTGACCTGACCGCTGTCCAAGCCGTTCTTTCTTAGCTGTGTCTTCCTGGCAGAGTACTTCCACCCTTCCCAGTGGTGCATGTCGTGGCAATGGACGCGCATTTCACTTGTGGATCGTGGTTAAAGGTATTCCTGTCATTGCCCCCGTTGGGTTTCATGGAGCTGTGCTTTTTTCCTGTTGTCAAGGAAACACCAGTTTTTTTTTTCCCCTGACTCATTAATGTCTGCATTTTTGTTTCCATAGCTACAAAGGAACCTTAGTGTTTTAAAATAGCGGTAATTGGATTACCTTAATTTTTTTTAATTTGTTGGCACCATTAATGGCTCCAATTTTCAACAGCAGACACCAGAACTGTATCAGCAGTTCTTCAGCTACTAATGCTGAGCGTCCCCTTGTCCTGAAATACTGGATACATGCTGAGAAAACTCTCCAGCATCCAACCTCAGGCTCTACACATGGTACTCCAGTTTAAGTCATTGAGTTCTCAACAGGGATGGGCAATCTCTTGTTATATTTAAATGTAGTTTTCTACATACATTAATAAGGTATATGCAAAACTGTGGAGGTTTTGCTTATTTTGTTACTAGTTGCTTAATATTCCCTCCATAACTATATTGAAATGCAACCATTATAATTTAATTGAAGTTTCCCTGATCATGTCTAATGACCATCTATCTGGCACTGGCTGAATTTCCAAACACCTGCTTGGCACAAAATACCAGCTGAAATTACTGAAAATAGTCTTTCCAGTTGCTCTGATTTCTGATAGGAGCCTTTATCAGAAGTTCTATTGTGAATTTTCAAGGTGTTGACCCCAACATTTCACATATTTCTGAACTTCTGTAAATTTGACCACCAGAAGAATAAACTGGGAGAAATTTTACATGCAAATATCTAACATACCTGGGATACCAGCAGCACGAGCCAGCAGTGTGCCCTTGTGGCTAAGAAGGCCATCGGGGCTCATTAAAAAGAGTGGCCAGCAGACTGGGGGAGAAGATCCACCTCATCCACTCTGAGAGTGCAGAAACCCAGAGTGGTGGCACTGCTGGTAGGAGCTGCGTGTGATGGATTCAATTCTGTTCAGCCTGGTGCCCAGCCAGTCAGTGCGGGTGGGGATGCCTCCTGGTGAGGGGATGCAGGACAAGATGTGCTGAGGCTGAAGATGGGAGGAACTTGATGCTGAAAAGTAAGAAAGGCAAAGGTACAGAATGTACATTTATGGTGCATTGTAACCACTTCAGACAGGTAGGTAGAGTGTAACAAATACATAAAAAGTGTGAGAAGGCAGCATGGTAACAATTTCAGCGTGGTAGGAATGTACACACAGGCAGAGACAGGCAGACTATCTAGGAGTTTCAGTCTTCAGAAAAAGTGAGTTATGCCCTTCTAAGTAACAGCAGTTCCTAGCTACACTGGGACTCTCAATTCTGTGTGCTTTTCCCATGTTCCTGAATCTTCTTAAGAAAACAAGCGAAAGAGGGTCTCCAACCTAAAGGCAGTTACAAGTTGATATAAGAAAGATGTGACAGAAAGGAGCTAGATGCTGATCACTATAAACAAGGAATTCCCATTAACCTAAAAAGTTCCTGCTTTTCATCATGGATTTTCTTGCATCCTTGAGGCAAAGAAACAGTATTACCATAGAAACAGTACCCTGTGTCATTGCAGGCCTTTCTGGTGCTGTGTGCTGTTATGGAAACAGACATCTTAGCTGCTGTCCACGTTACACATTTCAATTATTGTGTTTGTAAAGATATGTTATTAAACTATAATTTCAGGATTAATTTCAGTAACAACGAAGTCTCTGAAGTGTTCAGCAATTCACTGAACACCTCAAGGTTGCCCCATGTTAAAAACAGCATTAAAACAAAATGTATGAACAGTGCCCTTGAGGCAGTAACCGACCTGTCCAAACCTTAGCATGTGCAAAAAACTGGAATAAGATGAACTGTCCAACCTTCCAGTCATTTGTAAAACTACTTTGGGAAAGCAGATTCTTAAGCTATACGATGAGTGCAAGGACACATCCTTCCTGTGTGTGTGCATGGAAAGGAAAGGCGGAAAATTCAGCGAGAAAATGTGACTTAGTTGGCTGAACTGGGAATTGTGAATTCTGAAATGCTAATCCCTGCTGAACCATTCTTTTGTCTTGGGAAAGCCATCTTAGATTCTGATCTTAGGCTTATTCCTAATGGGCTTTGAGTCCTTAGAGCTCTGAGAAAATCTCAACCTTTCTGTATTCATAACATCTGACATACTTCATATATATACATACATACTGCATATTTCACTTGTGTCCTGCAAGCATCATTTCTTAATTTTTGGAATAAAATCATTTAAAAATCTGTGACATGATTATAAGTTTTTACTTGAGTTTGTGGTCATTCATCATTTCACTTGTCAGTTGTAAATAGCTTCCTAGCCAATTATATTAATTATACCTTTTAATTACTGTAATTCAAGAAGCCTAAGTGTGCCCTTCTTTAACTTCATCTTTCATCTCTTTATCTTTTATCTGATTTTAATCATAATTATCTGTACCAGGAAGGTGATACGCTGCCTCTTTTCCTTGCAGTTATTACAGCTCGTAATGGGAATATTTCCTAACACTGAAAAACTGAAAAGATATCAACTCTAGATAGGATTTGAACACATATAATGAAAACAGGTAACTGTAATGAATTCTTCGCTGAAATTCAGGTGCCTCTGCTGAGCTTCAAGGGAAACAGAAAAAAAACATGGAAAATGTTGGTTTAGAAATTAGTCTGATTTTTCTCATAAGGCCAATGATGCAATGACGCCTCAACAATATTCATATCATTTAATTGGAGCAATGCTTTATGAAGCACTTCTAATTCGGCATCAGTTTGACTCCTTACACACTTTTGCATCCCTAAACCAAACTAGGGAAGATGGTGTTCTTGAATTCAGCTCAAAAAAAAAAAATAAATAAATAAAAAAATGTGTTAAAACAGTCCATCAAAACTCCCCCAAAAAAGGCTTGCAAACTGGAACTGTGAGTTCATTTCTTGTATTCCTCTCACTTTCCCTCCCCCCCTCTGTATAATCAATGGACATCAAGATGTTATAGTCACAATATAATCAAGAGAGTTGGGCAAAGTGGACAATGATAACAAAAGAGAATAAATAGAAGGCTTACCCTTCAGCTGGGCTCACCACAAAACACCAGTAGAGGCCATCTCCAGAAGAGATCCTCCCCCACTGGCAGCCAGCTCTTAAATAGGTCTAGGAGGGGTGCAGCCAGGCTCCCCCCCTTCCAGCAGCACAGGAGAATTGCCTTCAGCTGTGCTCCTCTGGCTGGCTCATGGCTCGCCTCAGGTGATCAATCAGAGGTTCAGGCCGTGACTCAGTGGTTCCCATACATCCTCCAAAAAATAAACCAAAAAAACCCCCAGCTGTTTCACTCCATACTGTCCATAACATTGCAAATTTGAAAAATGTAAATAATTTTTTAAAAAAATCATATATGTTGCACCTTCAGGGCTACAATATCTTGCAAAAACTGCTCCTTATTAAATCTCTTTGCTTACCACAAAAAACAAAGCAGTCTCGGAGGTCTCCATATTACTTATTCTGATTAACTAACAAAAGTCCTGTCATTTGTTGAATGAATGTTACAACTACTGCTGCAACTACAAGACCAAGACTTTCATGTCATACCATGCTGAATGGGACAAGACACCTGGTCACTTCCATCTCTGAGATGTGCAGAGGCCTGCAGCGATCTCCATAGGCTTCAGCCCTGTGTAGAGCTGGTTGATGCTCCTGGCTCCTGGCTCAGAACATCATTTTCCACAGCAGATGTAAATCCTGATCCCTTATCGAGGACTTGCAGGTCAGGGCAAATCAACCCTTGTCTCAGCATGTGGGAAGTGCCTGGTGGGAGGATGCCACCACCCAGTCCCACCAGTGGTAATGCACTGAGTGAGCACTAAATGTTGTACAGAAAGAAGCAGATGTGGAGTGCTTGTCTTTGCTCTGTGCTTCCAGTTTCATGCGCTGATAACATCCCCTCCTGGGAGATGTGAAAGTGTTCCAGAAAGCCCTATTGAGGCCTGCAGCTAGTGAGGTAGGAATTCCTTTCTGGCTCTGAAAAATGAAGGGATCCAGCAGCTGAGGTTTGCCTGAGTCCTAATTGTGAACATTTTTCATGTCTGTGTTCCTCATGATTATTTGAATAATCATGGGAGTAATTACTGAACTGAAAAGAATATTCGCCCTCACTTTCCTGAAGAAGGGGCTCTCTTTCAGGCACTTGTTATCTTGTTTTTGTTTAAATCTGTTCAGATCCCTTATATGTGTGTCCATATCCTTTGGAAAGTGCTCCTTAAATTCTGAGCATTTCAGCAGGGAGTCAGATCTGTGTGGTACACTGAAATACATGTTTATACCAGTAACAAACACTGATTTGGAAATAACTGAATTATGTTGTGTTGTTTTTGTCTTTACTTCTTTATCTCAGCATGTCTCAAGGTCCTGTGTTTACTGAAGCTTTGTGTTTCTTATTAATACCATTTTTTACTCAGACCTCACCACGGCTGCTGATCCCATCGCTGGTTGTTTGGGCCCATATGCACAGGGAAGCATTCAGCTGTTCAGGCAGTATTTGTTTTTTCTGTTCCTATGGCACCCATACCATCGCACATTTGGGAGTCCCTTATTTAGAAGGCACATGGTATTCATATCTTGATTAAAAAGAAAAGCAGCTGTAGCTCCTACTTCCTTCATTTTACCTGTTTATAGACTTCAGTTCCTAGTAATTATTGATTTACAGTATTTAATGTATTGCAGAGTACTGCATCCCCTGAATTAGCCACCAAATATATAATAGAGCAATTCTTTCTGAGCATTAAAACCACACACTGACATCAGCCAAGAACTCCAGTTTTGCCTTATCTGTCATCATCTTGCTGACAACAATGTCTTTCCTACTGACTTAGTGCTGTAGAGCTGAAGTGGATATTAACTACTTGTGCAGCAATGTAAAAGATTTCTTAATAGAATCTTCAGTTTAGAGCAAAATAATAAATTGAGGCAGCTAGTAAGAAAATATATAAATGAATGCAATGCAAGAACTAGACTTGAAAAAAAATTAAATGATTGCTCTGTGAGAATACTAGTCATTGCTGTGCCTGCTTTGTACAAATATTTATGCAACTCCTTTATATTTTTCACTCTGTGGTTATTATGTCTTGGACTCACTGCAGATAACAGAGAACATTCCTGGAAGGTGAATGGCACTCATTGAAGTTGTCTCATTCACACAAAAGTAAGTTTGCTGCTTTGTGCTTTGGATTTAACTTCTTGTTTCATTTACGTTTCTTATTTATTCCTTTAATTGTTGCCTTTGCTGAAGCATGAAGTTGCAGTCAGCTTCCTGGACAGCTTCATTTCAGTATAACTGAAAGCCTACGAAGAATTCTCAGCTTTTATTTCAGGTTGTGGTTTCTTTAAACCTGATTGGGTACAAGATGTCTGAGCCAGAGTTTTATATGCACTTTGGATAAAAGAGCATGGTCTGAAGACCGTGAGTACAGGTATAGCTCCATATTTGTGATTTAACATGTAATATGTCATGATCACTACTGGTTCTTTGAGGTTTTACATTGGACGTTTGCATTCATCACACATTTAATAGCCTGGTGTGCTTTTATGAGAGATGTTGTGGTCTTTAGGATTAAACAAGGATGAGATATAGGGAAGAAGCACGATTATTTCCAAACAATCTGAAGTTTTAAAGTACTTTAAAACGTTCTATCTTTAATTGTGCTGTTATTGTGCTTGCTCATGAGTTGTGGGTGATAACGTGATTATCATCTGCCTACTTGATCACATGCACATTTGTGATGCTTGCAAGAAGAAACATTGTCTAGCTGGTAATTGTCATATTACACAGATTCCAAGAGACTGTTTCCTAGACAACAGGAGAGCTGTGGTACATCCACAAAAACTGTGCACTGCTGTGTATCTGCTCTTCAGTCAAACACCTGGTGGCAGCTGCTGCTCCCACTGACGATATGGACAGGATGCAACTGTTTCTATAGCCAGAAACAAATTCTTTGATCTAAGCAAGTCAGAGAAGCTGTTGATTCATAGGTATGTGTCACATATTTCTCATACTATGTTCCCAGCACCTAAATTTTTTTGGATAAAAATTTGGTGTTAGTGAAATATCATTTTTTGCCTTTCTAGGTTTCCTGACATAAACTTACTGGCACAGGCAGCAGTGCTGTGAGTTGTGTTTGTGTAGGAGGTGAGCAGAGCAGAAGTGTTTGTCAGTGTGCACAAAGTGAGCACGGGAAGCAGTGTGACTTACTGCTGAGCTTGGCTGTTCTGCAGGCCAGGCACCTCTTCAGAATGCTGACAATCATTGTAAGCGATGGACAACGGACAGAGGTCTGCTGCCTTGGGAGAGGATGTGCTGCTGTTCTGCTCCTTTGATGTCAGCCATACAGAGGGATTAAATGACTCTCTGCAAAACGTGTTGAAGTAATTTATGTAATCTAGTAAATAATGTTGCTGTGTTAGTAATTTGACTGTTTTCTTGAGTAAATGGAAACATCAGTATGGAGGCAGTCCAGATCCAAACTCCCTCCTTCCCACAAATAAATCTCAGATGGCTTTCACACGATCATATGCTATTTTAGAGCCTAGAAATGATTTTTGGAACCAGACTAAATGTGTCTGAGAAGGAAATGAAGGCCTTTTCGAAACAGGAAATAAACG